TATTTTTGTATTTGTTTATTATGCAATATAAATGACTCTTTCCCCAATTTTCTGCTGTAAGAAGATGATTGGATTAGTTTAAACAAACCACTCTGATAATTTGAGCCGTTGATATCTCTCTCTTCAACGTCCGCCTGTTGGCTCCCGTGGAAAACAGAGGGCAAATGTCGCATGTCGACTATGATTCTTGCTATGGCCATGTCAGACTAGAAGTTAGCTGCAGATAGTGTAGCCCAGCTCATCAACTAGCAGTTCTGACCTGTGCAGGAGTATGGTTGGTGGGTCCAATGCTTACACATTTGTGTTTCTAGTGCGCCAAGCGCTTGGACTGGGGGAACCCACCCCCTTAATTAACCCTTGTCCCCCTTGGAGTTGAAGTGAACCTTTTAATGCCCACGAACACAGGGTTATGCCCCTCCTTTTTCATTAATGTATGTTACCCCCCCTGAATCAACTTCTACATGAAGGCCTGGGTTCCCTTGTCTCCATGGTAATAATATATACCATGCACTGACACCCATGGAAATGGACTGATAAAAACAGGGAGAAACGTTATTATATTAGTGAGGTGTACACTGCACCTTAGCGTGTCTAAGGTAGGCGGTGATAATCCCTCGGATTCTTTGTTCTCCTGGTGTATCCCTTTAGAGGGAAGAAAGGGGATGAAAGATGAGAAGGGAGAAAGAGACAGAGAAAAAAGGACGACAAAGTAAAAGAGAATGAAGGATTCATTATCAGTACAGCACACGAAACCAAAGCCAAACCATTAGGTGCATAATGGCAATCTTAAATGTCCCTATAATTTTTAATAGCCAGCACCACAGACCACACACTGAATTAGTGTGACTCTCGCTGTGCAGTCACCCAATTTGCTTTGTCTTGGCTTCCTACCTCGTTACCCCATTGTTGACACAATCCCTGTATTGTTGAACTGGACTCTATAACGGTGTTCGTTACTCAGTAGCATGACTTTTTTGTATTTTCAAGCTGCAAGTCCTATGGTGAATGTTAAATACTCCACCTAGGCAACAATAATTATAGGGATTGTGTGAGGGGGTAGGGGGTGTCAGCATGCCCAAATCTGTGTTCATGCTTCATGTATCCCATCCCTATCTTGTCTCTCTTTCTTATCACAGCATACCTTATACCTCTTTTTTAAATTCACAGATATTTTGTTTACTTGTATCCACTCATTTTATACATCTCTGTGTGAAAGGGGGCAAGCCCCTATACAAATTGATATTAAAGAAAGATCCTGTTGTCGTTTACAAACATGTGGTTGTAATGGAAATGATGTAATAATGCATCTGTACCAACTTTCATCTCCATGCGTGGTACCGTTAGCAATATGAGTGAAAAACTAATGTTAAAGAAAAGTGCCTGAGGCTATTTGTTGTTGTTGAAACAAAATGTGTTTTTCATGGAAATGATGAAATATGCATGCGTACCAAGTTTCATCTCTATCTGTGCTACCGCGATTGGTGTGTTTTGATACTGGTGATTGCATTTCCTCGCCAGAAGGTAATGGCGAGACTTTTGAAAAGGTGGCTTGCTGGGACTGCAGTATTTGGGGCACCAAACCTCTGGCCAATGACCTGTCCGAGAGACGGGATGGTGTTGATTGTGTCTTTTGAGAGACCACCCAAGGCCGGTATTTAAGGCCAGGCCTGGGATTTTGGCCTTGATGTACTCGGCAATGGGCTGGAGAGTCAGGGCAAAGCCCAGGGGGCCCAGGGGGTCACCCTGCTGCACGCCATGGCAACTGTAGATGGTGTTGTTGCCCAGATGGAGAAGACATTGGCATGTATAGCAGGACTTCATCCACGCCGATAGAGAGGGACTGGGGTAGGCTATACGTTTACTCGCGGTCTCTTGCTAGTAGCTCGCGGAGAGCCTGACACGGGCTAGCTACAGTAGTAGATAGCATGCGGGAGTCGATACACTCCCTTCATGCCTCATGTGCCTCCAAGGTGCACAGAACAAGTGGATCAGGTCAAGGTAAGCCTGTGCTAATTTGCATATTGGCTTGTTCACTTGCTTTTCACGCCATAACTTTCGAACACAGTAGTTTTACGAAAATCACCATTTTAAAAATCAAACCAGTGTAGCAATGAATCTGTTGGTATCGTTACTTTGTTGTCTTGTTGCGCGTGGTGGCAGAAAATGTGGTAACAGACAGGCTGCCGGACAGACAACAAAGTACCATAACCCTCGCTACGCATGCGTGCCAAGGGTTTAGGAGAAAGATAGGAAAAGTCTTAGTATAACTACCAACATGTATTCTCTGTGTAATAGTTAAAACATTATGCTAAAAATAATAGAACATCCGATGACTTACCATATTTGCAATTTAACCTTCTTCCCCTCTACCTCTATGGTCTTGGTCACAAAATGAACTCCTGATCCGGGGAATAGAAAAGAGAAACATCATAATTGTTAGTTGCCCATCACAACCACTAGGAACCATTCACACGTGCATATTGTATCACTCCGCATAATTCACATGAGTAATGTAGAACTATGTATTAATGCCCCTGTAACATGAAGCATGAGGTACACGGATTTGTAAACATGGTGTATCCAGTTGGCCTTGGTGAAATACGTACGTCAGCAATCCTGGTTTTTTCTCAACCAAAACACCCTCGGCGCGCATGCACAGCGAGGGTACGGTAGTTGGGTCTGTCTGTCAGTGTGTCTGTTACTCTCAATCTCACTTCTCGGGTGTTTGTTCGTCTCACAAAGGATACAACCTACTCAACGGGCAATGAAGGTCCGAAATTTCGAACAATTTTCTCTGAAACTGCTCCGTTGCAAAGCTAGAGCGCGAAAAGGCCAATATGCAAATACACAACGGACGGGATGGCTTACCACAGTCTGATCGATCCGTGTGCTCTGCGCACCGCGGAGTTACCAGAAGATGCAATGCAAGGCGTGTATCGCCTCTCGCATGCTATCTAGTAGTGTAGTTAGCCCGCGTCAGACTCTGCGCGAGCTGGCAAAAGACCACGAGTAACAGCTAAAACTAAACCCAGCCCATCAATTAGTGCTGTGGCGCATGCGTTTATTTACGCGTGCGCGTCACAATGCGCCGAGGGTTTGCACTTCAGTGCCAACCCTTGGCGCGCATGCGCAGTGAGGGTTACGGTAGCCACTAACAGCAATTTCACTGACGAGGTTCTGTCCCAGTCACCCGTGCAAATCAGAGACTTGAAAAAGCGAATTCTCGGTCACGATCGGGAAAGAACTCTCACACTTTCTGAGAACCATCCATCTCTCCAGCATCCTCTGTCGATTGCGAAACAAAACGCGTGGATGAAACTCCGGGATACAGCTCTAGATCATGGAGTGAATGGCACAAACTCAGCATTGAACGCGCTCAAGCTTCTATCTGTGACCCTCTTTGATGACAGGATCTGTCCGGTGACCGAATGTGACTATGTTGTCCCATAGAACATACCTTTATGTATCCAAAACCACACCAACCTACCCACCAGGGTTACTCCTGACTTCCTTGTTGATCTCATTGTCTCCATTGGAAATTACCCTGATCGGTTCCATGATTTAACAAGGATAAGCTCCTCCATCGAAAGACACTTCCCTTTCTAATCTCTGGTGTCTACCTGTATATTATTTATTGGTAATTTGGAGTTGTACTCCTCCCTCTGGAGGGGGGTATTATATGAAACTTTTGAACTTTTGAGTTGGGTCTGTGTGTGTGTTACTCTCAATCTCACTTGTCGAGTGTTCGTTCATCTCACAAAGGATACCACTTACTGAACGGGCAATGAAGGTCAGAAATCTCAAACGGTTTTCTCTGAAAACGCCCCGTTGCAAAGCTAGAGCGCTTCCACCATTGTACGGCTGATGCGTAGTCGGCCATTTTTATCGCTGCAGAAAATGCGCATGCGCTTATGGGTCTGCCTGCTCCATGTATCTTGAAGGCACAAGAAGTCACAACAAAGGGCGTGTATCGACTCTCACATGCTACCTACTACTGTAGCTAGCCCGTGTCAGACTATCTGCGAGCTACTAGCGAGAGACCACGAGTAAACGCGTACCAATAGCAGCCCAGCCCATCAATTAGCGGTACCGCGCATGCCCAGTTCGCTGAGGGTTTGCACTTTAGTGCTTTTCATTCGTTTTAGCAAACATTTTCAGCAAAGAGCTGAACACTGGAGACTAAAACCTTCTCGTTTAACATTTTATCCTTCACATACTGCCAACTAAACTGCAGCGTTATTTTCAGAAATGGAGGCTAAATGCTAAGTGGAGTAAAAGTGTGCAGTGATGGTTTATTTGCTAGGAAGTCTTAGGAAAATTAGGGAACGTGAGTATCAACGTACACATTGATTATTAGTTGTGCATGGGATGTGCATATCAAGAATGAACAATGAAAGAAAGTAGGTATCGCTAATGGCCCGCCTCGTAGCCTGTAGTGCCAGAATAAGTGTCGACACACACACACACATTTATATAATTATGCACAATCAGCTGTCACAATAGTATGCACATCCTGTGCCAAAACCACTACTTATTAATATTCATAACTAGCTAGACTATTTATACAACCAGCACTAGTAAGCTGCTTAGTTACAAGACAGAGAGAAAGTCAAGAGAGGAAAAGGTGAGCGAGATATACAGTATAAAACATAGACACTAGTATGTATATAGATATACAGTAGACACTAGAATAAGTATACAGATATACAGCATAAAACATAGACACTAGTATAAGTATACATTTTATGCCGGACTCCTTGCTGGGGAGTGGTCCCGCCTATTCCATAGTTGACCTCGGGTCGGAAAGTTAAAGGGACCGAAACCCGTTGTCATACAATGACGGAAATAGGTACTTCCCTGATGACCGGCCAAAAAACTGTTGCATAATGTATGTTACAACTCATGAACGCATGCGTGGTTGCTATGTGGCGGCGCCTCAAGGCTAGGATCGCATGGACACTGGGTTGCCGCCCAGGTAATGTGGACAAAAGCCCTCCCAACCCTGTCACTCTGCTACCTTCTTTCTCCTTATTTCCCTTCCTTATGTTTCTTCACCATCACACAACACACACACACACACAGACAGACAGACAAACCAACTACTGCAACCCTCGCTGTGCGTGCACACCGAGGGTTAATGAAGTGAAGTGAATGAAAAGCACTAAAGTGCAAACCTTCGGCGAACTGTGCATGCACGGTACCACTAATTGATTGGCTGGGCTATCGGTATGCGTTTACTCGTGGTCTCTAGCTAGTAGCTCGCAGAGAGTCTGACACGGAGTAGCTACAGTAGTAGCATGCGGGAATCGATGCACGCCCTTCGTTGTGACATCTTGTGCCTCCAAGGCAAGCGGACCCGGTCGAGGTAAGCCTGTGCTAATTTGCATATTGGCTTCTTCACTTGCTTTTCACGCCATAACTTTCGAACGCAGTATCTTTATGAAAATCGCCCTTTAAAAATTCAAGCCAGTGTAGCTATGAACCTATTGGTATCGCTGGTTTGTTGTCTCGTTGCGCGCAGTCACAGACAGACAGATAGACACACTCACGAACCAAGTACCGTAACCCTTGCTGCGCATGTGCGCCGAGGGTTAAAAAGCACTGAAGTGCGAACCCTCGGCGAACTGCGCATACGCGGTAGCAGTAATTGATTGGCTGGGCTTTGTATGCCTTTACTCGTGGTATCCCACTAGTAGCTCGCGCAGAGTCTGACATGGGCTAGGTACCAACCCCACCAACGCCATTAGCACCACCGACACCTCCCTACAACAGGAATGTCGATGCCCGAAACAGACGAAGCCACCACCAATCCCTACCCAGCCACAGAAACCAATAGGGAGAAACTCCAGCAATACCTCCTGGACTACTATAGCTCCAGCACCTTCAACATTGAACACCAGATCCTACCACTCATGGACAGCCCACCAATGAGACTAATGATCAACCCACATGCAACCCCCACCGCCCATCATTCACCCATACCAGTACCTCTCCACTGGCAAGACGACGTCAAAGCCGGCCTAGACAGAGACATGAGATTGGGAGTACTGAAACCAGTACCATTTGGAGAACCAGTCACATGGTGCCACCACATGGTCGGTCATCTGCGCAAAAAAGAATGGCACGCCCAGAAGGACAATCGACTTCCAACCTCTCAACATCCATGCCACCAGAGAGACACAACGCACCCAGTCACCCTTCCACCAGGTGCGATCGGTCCCTCAAGGGAAGAAGAAAACCGTCTTCGATGCATGGAATGGCTACCACAGTGTACCCCTTCACCCTGACGACCGACACTACACCACTTTTATCACCCCTTGGGGCCGCTATAGATACCGCACAGCCCCACAAGGTTACATTTCCTCAGGCGACGGATACACCAGGAGGTACGACGAGATCACCTCATCCATTCCAAACAAAACCAAACGCGTAGACGACACTCTCCTATGGTCGGACACAATAGAAGAAAGCTCTTCCAAGCATGCAACTGGTTGGATACCAGTGGCAGACATGGAATCACCCTCAACCCCGAGAAGTTCAGCTTCGCCAAAGACAAAGTCGAATTCGCAGGCTGCGAAATCACCAATGACACCGTGTGACCATGCAAGAAATACATGAGGGCCATCTCTGACTTCCCCACCCCACAGAGCCTAACGGATGTAAGATCCTGGTTTGGTTTGGTGAACCAGGTCATATGCATTTAGCATGGCCGACACGATGCTACCCTTCAGGGAACTACTCAAGCCCAGCAACAAATTCCACAACACACTACAACATTCATTCAAGAAGTCTAAGCTAACGACGAAATCCACAATGGAGTCAAAATCTTCAACAAAACCAAACCCACATGCTTGGCCACTGATTGGTCAAAAACACGGCATCGGTTACTGGTTGTTCCACAAACATTGCTCCTGCCCCTCCAACAACCTCTTTTTCTGCAAACAAGGATGGAAGATCACCCTGGTGGGCAGCAGATTCACACACGCTGCTGGATCCAGATACGCACCAATCGAAGGTGAAGCACTAGCAGTGGCAGATGCTCTGGACAAAGCAAGACACTTTGTCCTGGGATGCAAAAACCTGACCATCGCTGTAGACCACTGACCACTCTTAAATTTGGCGACAGATCCCTAGACCACATCTGCAACACCAGACTGAGGAACCTAAAAGAGAAAGCCCTAAGATATCACTTCAACATAGTTCACATACTGGGTGTCAAAAACAGGGCCCCGACACCCTCTCAAGACACCCCACAGGTGATCACCACCCCCCAAAAATGGTCCTACATGACGACATACACAGCATCCAAGATAGCACTGCCATCCCTCCTCCCCACATCTCATAGCTGGCATATGCACAGCCGACCAACTATACACTATACGAACGGAAAACCAACTCCAGGAGTCACTCCTATCCTCCAGTCCAAACTGCTACATCTTCCAACGACAACATGCTCCTCCTCCTCTCCACCATTGAAGATGGCGTTCCCGAATTCAAACACCAACTACCGCCATCTATCAGAGAATACCACCAATTTAGGAAGCATCTATACAGCAGTGACGGCGTTGTAATTTACAAAGATCGAATTGTCATCCCACCCTCACTACGACCTTCATGCCTATCCGCCCTGCATGCCGCCCACCAGGGCACATCGGTCATGACATCACAGGCAGAAGAATCAATCTTCTGGCCTGGCATCACAAACGACATTCAAGCCACCAGAGCCAATTGCCCACACTGCAACAGGATGGCCCCATCACAGGCGGCACTACAACCCACACCCCCCACCCTACCGGAGTACCCATTTCAGTGCATATGCACTGACTACTTCCACTACCAAGGCCATAGTTGACCGATACTCAAACTGGCCTATAGTGGAGAGAGCCAAGGCCAATTAATGTCCTAAGATAAACCTTTGCCACCTATGGCATTCCAGACGAACTCTCATCAGATGGTGGTCCTGAGTTCGTGGCCGACACCACCAGGCAATTTCTACACCACTGGGGGATACACCACCGCCTTAGCTCTGCAGCGTCCCCCCATAGCAACTGCAGAGCTGAAGTAGGTGTCAAAACCATCAAAAGGTTCATCACCGGCAACGTCTTCAATACAGGAACACCCCCGACCCCACCACAAAGCTCTCCCCAGCCATGTGTGTATTTGGAAGACCAATAAAGGATCTAATCCCTATCCTGCCTGGTAAATACATGTACCACCCACACCCGACTTGGGGGAATTCCCTAAACTTAAGAGAGACACCGTCACATGCGTCACCAAGAAAAATGGAGCAAGCACACCAAACTACTACCACCGCTAAAATAGACAACAGAGTGAGGATCCAAAACCAAACCGGCAGTCACCAAAACAAATGGGACCGCACCAGCATCGTCAACGAAGTACGCCAGTTTCACCAATACCTCATCAGAATAGACGGATCAAGCTGGCAAACACTTAGGAACAGAAAATTCCTCAGAAAATAGTACATCCCCATATGCCAACCAGCCAAACGAAGGTCCATCCTAGAGGATATCGCTCACCTCCTCCAACTCCACCTTCCGATGACACCACCACATCACCCACCGACCTGCCTCCTACACACCAAGGAAAGACACCACATCCCCTACGACTCCAACCAGGACAGACACGGAAGTCAACATCCCACCACCACAAACGTCACATCCCCCTGATTCACCCATCACCCCTCACACACACACACACACTCACACACCAGCCATAAATCCTGCTCAACCTTCACCGGAACCCACACCTACCGCAAACCCTATCCCAACCCCACAACCACTGAGGAGATCAACCAGAATCAAGAAGCCCCCTATACGGTTACAATGAGGAAACTCAGCCTTCAACCACCAATGGGTTAAAGATTTGGGGGGAGACAGAGAACATTGAACACGATTACCTAACGCATACCTAATGACCCTTATGTCATTTATTCAGTTGTACCTATCATTGATTCATGAGAACATTTGTTTCAATCGAGTCTTGAGTACATGAGCAAATAGGGTTACTCCTTATTTTAAGATGGAGGGGAGGGAAGATTAGCAGAATTACTTACCCATAGTTCTTCCGAGGGACGTAGGGTGGGGGGAGTCCTCATCGTACGTCTCCGCAACACAAGATTTACCAACCCAACTGTCTCCTATTAGTAGCACCTCAAACGACACGTCGTGCTCGCCAGAGCCAGCCATCGCGAAAACCCGGGACCCGGCCCTCGATTCTCGGGTCGCGTGCGCATGCTCCGAAAGTCGGGGTGTCGTCGTCATGTCGTTCGTTCTCGATGTGCGCATGCGTATGGGTAGGTATAGTGCTACGCTTGTGTACAGCGCAACAAGTGCAAAGAGAGTCCGATTGAGAGAGAACAGAATGATGTTGCATATTACTAGTTTAATGGTAACCATTGTTGGCGAGCGGGAGCAATCCAACCAAGAAATGTGTATACAGGTGTTGAAAGTACTTCAAAGTTTGATTGGACCAATTGGCTGGTGAAGTTGAGGTTGAAGTGGCAGTATACTTGCCTGCTGCATGTGACTTTGATGGTCACGCTGACGTCTTAACTTGTGGAGTCTCTGAGGCAATCCGTTGTTGTTTGTTAAGTCCTACCAGCTGTAGGCGGGCCTCTCTCTCCCCGCTGGCCTCAGCAGCAATTCTCTGTTCTTGATTCCTGCGTAAGTACCTGTTGCAGGCGGGCCTCTCTCTCCCCGCTGAACTCGGCAGCAATTCGTCTTGCCTGGTAGTTTCGGAGCTGTGTGAGCCTGGCCTGTTCCGTTTCCCCTGATTCTGCAGCGCGTCTAGCTCTATGTCTTGTACACGACGTCTCGCTAGTCGTGCTTCCCTTTCTTCCGCTGTTTCGGCGCCGAGGCGTTCCCTTGGCCGTTCCCTATCACGCAGTCGGCGTTGAGAAAGCCGAGCCTCTCTCTGCTCAGGAGTCTCACGCAGTCGGCGTTGAGAAAGCCGAGCCTCTCTCTGCTCAGGAGTCTCACGGGCACGACGTTGTCTTTCCCTCTCTCTTCGACGACGAAGGGCATCCTCTGTAGACTGATCCGATCCATGGTTGCCACAGTTAGTTGTGAAATGAAGTCGCGCATGCGCACTTACACGACGTACCACGGTCGGTCGTATATAAATAAATAAATAAATAAATAGAGAAATCGGCCCGTTGCGACGACTAGGTTGGCTCGCTCCCGCTCGCCAATAATATTGATGTTGAGTCTTCTCTGGTCTCAGATGCAGGTCGTCCACTCTCAGACTGCTCCTTATGTCTCCTTCAGTAACCAGACACTGGTCAACCATTCCTATGTGGACCTCAGTCAAGTGGGCATAGAACAGAGTGGCAGTGACAGTGTTCAGTGTATCACTGACCTGAACACATGTTGTACTGGTAATCAGAGCTTCCATCGTGGAGACTGGTATTTCCCTGATGGAGATAGACTGTCATTCAGTGGAGATGGTGATAATATCTATGAGATTCGTTTTGATGAAAGAGTTTACCTACGTCGTAGGAATGGTGCTACCTCGCCAACTGGTATCTATCGCTGCGATATTGCAACTATTGCTGTCCATGACGATACTGACATCTCAGTGAGAGATGCAGTGTATGTTGGAATGTACACTGACACTGGAGGTATATACGAGTTACAAATAATGCTGGCTCAGTGATTACTTTCATGGCTCTAAACGTTTGTGGCATTATAAATTGTGAAAAGCATCTGAAGATGAAAGTTTTGTGGAACTACAGGCGCCCTTACTTGTGCTTACCCATGCAGGAGCTGTCTCCATAGCAGTACTGAGGGTGACATCTGATCTTAATAGAGCTAGACCTCAGTTCACCCTGGCCTGTATCTCCACTGGTGGACCTGCTACCACTGTCACTTGGACCAGAGACTCCATCACTGTCACCCAAGGAACTGAGACTGTGTTGAATGACCCAGTGACTGCACAGTACACCCACACTCTGACTGCGACTACTGCAGGAGAGTATACACCTGCACTGTGTCAAATGACAAGCCATCCTCTGATTCAACTAGTATCACTGTGACAGGTATAATTATATTGGTGTATCTCCAATCTTCTTTATACTAGAGGATAGACCTTTTTAAGGTAAAGAACTTTAGTAAATTTGTACCCACCGTAAAGAACGCTCCTTGCCCACAAGTGTTTTGAAGAAAACTTTCATGGTTTTTTGTTGAACCATAAATCTCTCCTATGCAATTTTCCTTGTGTACTCATCAACATTTCTGGTTTAAAGAAAACATTAAAGTGTATACATCCATGGTATAATAATAGCCTCTAAGGAAACACACGATGTGTTAGTCTGTCTCTGCGTGCCTGTTAACTACCACCCTCTGCCATAGCAAAAAATAAACTGCAGAAAAGTGTTTTTGTGTGGGTGTGGTGCATTTAAAACTTATGGTCTGAAATCCAACTAGCAAACAAACCAATGAACATGGCTTGCTCATATTAGATTGCGCTCCTCTTGTGTGCACTATGATATTCAGGCATCAGATGTTGTACAATGAGAATCAGTTGAAAAAAACCAATTATAATTTTAGTGCATGTGGCCCTGTGCCTATGTCACACACACGATTATATGTGGCACATGCTGAAAGTTCCATTTAAACCCTTGGCGGGCATGCGCAGCGAGGGTTGAGGTACTTGGTTCGTGAGTATGTCTGTCTGTCCATCTGTTAGCACAGTTTCTGCCACCACGCGCAATGAGACAACAAAATAGCCAACAGGTAATTTATACACTGGCTTGATTTTTAATATTTTGATTTTCGTTAAAAGTACTGCGTTCTAAAGTTATGGCGTGAAAAGCAAGCCATTATGCAATTTAGCACTGGCTTACCCCGACCGTGCTCTGTGAAATCACAACAAAGGGCGTGTATCGACTCCCGCATGCTATGCTTTCGCTAGCCCGTGTCAGACTCTCCGCGGAAGACCACGAGTAAATGCATACAATAGCCCGGCTCATTGTGCTGTGTTGTTTTGTTTGGTTGTGTGTGTTTTGCTTTGCTATGTCGCAAACCAAAAAACATCATTTAGCGGTGCGCAGTTTGCTTTTTCATTGGTATTGTGTCAATAGCACTGGCTAACTGGAGGTATTGCAACTGCACTTGATGCTTGTATAACGATTTTATGCCTCCACTGTAGAAAGCTGGCCGTACCAATTAGCACATCTAGATGAACTCATTTTAGCCGTCCCCTCATCCCCTACCTCCCTCACCATCTCATGGAGACTGGACCAAAATTATACTGCTACCTCATACACCGTCTCCTACTCGAACGTCAACACTGACTGTTTCTCTGACTCCAGCAGTGGTATCCCTGCTAGTGGGACATCATACACACTAACTGGTCTGGAGGAGGGGACTCAGTATTCTATCACTGTCACTGCCTCTCTGGGTGGGAACAGTGGAACTCTAGAAGGCAGCACTACAGCCACTACATTGATTGCTGGTTAGTATCCATAGCTCACAGGGTGCTCTCTGTTAGCCTCTCTTCTCTGTTGTGACCTCAGCTCCATCTGCCCCACCCTCTTCTGTGAGGGTGTCAGTAAATAGTTCCACTAGTATCACAGTCCAGTGGGGGTCAGTGGAGTGTAGACATCACAATGGAGAGATAACAGGCTACTGGGTGAGGTATGGAGTGGTAGGGAGCAGCAAGGAAGACAGGAGTATGCTGATGGTATCAAGAGACAGTGGAGGAATGGCTACAATCGTTGGACTGAGTAAAGAGACAGTCTACACGGTTCAAGTGGCAGCAGTCACCAGTTCTGGTACTGGAGTATACACCAATCCTCTCACATTTGAAACTCCTGATAGTCAGTGAAAAGTTTATTGCTTTGAGGTATACACTCTCGCTCTCTTGTTTTCAAGCTCTTAGTTCGTCATTGGCTCCCTTCCAATGTTATTCCTGCTATATACCAGGCGAAACATGAAGTGGCTATTGAGAGTCTCAACTCGGAGGTTAGAGCTTTGAAATCAGAAGTGAGGGAGATGAAAGCTGTCATTACTGGGCTGTCGAAACAGCCAAATGTGCTACAGGATTCTGTTGCATCCTCAAGACCTGCTCTAGAGCTACTGCCGCTAGGAGCTACGCATCCGCAGCGAACGCCCCCCAGGACCCTGCAACTACGAGTGCCACTTCGGCCAACCTCAAGTACATCTGTAGTGGCCCT